TCGAGAGCTCTTGATAATTCCTTATGTCCTTTGCAAGAGGAATTGACAAGAGATCTTTTAACAAGAATGCAGTGCGTCACAGACCAGTGGAAGTGAGGACTTATTTGGAAGTGCCAGACGCGAGGGCGTGAGGATGACTTGTTAGCTTCCATCCAGCCAGTGGCACAGAGTACATCTGTCATAGCCACCCAAACAGATGTTTTTATAAGCCCAAATTTGTGAAGGAAAACAACTTGTTCTGTGCTTCCATTAGGTCTCAAACCAACATTAATTTCCTCTCATTCATAATATACACTTTTGAAATTCTTAGTAACACTTGGCCAAGGTACTTAAGCTCTGAATTGTTGCACTAAAAGGGAGGGGTGAAACAACAGATCAATGAATAAATTTGGTGCAGAGATGCTGGGCACAATCTTAAATTCTCATGTGAAATAGAGTTGGCATGTGTAGCAGTTTGACTCTATATAGCTGTAAAATGACAGGCGTTTGCACATAAATGGAAGTGAGAAACTGATCCTATTTAAATGAGATCATGTGGTCACATGTAAAATACTGCATGCAGAATTTATATTCATTCTTCTATAAATGATTGCAATATGCAAACATGGTTTTCATAAAGGAGTTGCTAAATAGTGTTGAGGGTTTTATTTTCTTTCAAGTCTTGTCTAGTAGGACTACTGTTAGATGAAGCTTGCATAAGTTTTGATAGACTATTGTCTATATCCTTTATTTAGCCTGGTTGTTTAAAATATTTATATTAAACTTTACTTTTCACTACCAACAATCCTAAACATTTTAGATAATTTTTATTTATTTATTTCTGAATGTATACCCTACTTTCTGTTTTATTCTGAAGAAAGGCTCAGGAAAATAAAACAATAAAGAATATAAGGCATGACAATAAAATTAATCTTTAAGATTTTAAAAAACATTAAAATTAATCATTAAAATAATTAGCAATATTGGCAGAACAAGTTATTCACACAACAGACCTAACTAGGGCAGTTAAAGGTCTAGTTGCTACTATTCTGATTATTTTTTAGCTTCGTTTTTTGTTTGTTTGCTTCCTTGTCAATCCAGCTCAATTGATTAGTTGATGGTTCAGTGTATTATGTGAATCCAGATAATGGCTTAATCCAGCATCCAGGTGTGTTGTGTGAACACAGCCTACTTCTCATTATGTGTCTCAGGTGTTTCTGATTCAGCTTTAGAGTGGGGGAAAGTGCTGAATAGCTTTTCTGAGACTTTCAATTTCTCCAATTTCTGAAGGATCAAGGGTAGCAAAACTTGAAAGATCTCTATAGAGGGCCATAGGAAAAACAGTAGCAGTTCAAGTGCTTGATTTGGATGAGAAGATCCAGGTCTACCTTGGAATAGTCATAAGGACCAAAAAGTTGAGAATATGCTTTAGCAGTAAATAGCTTTAAAGCTTCCAATTACCAAAGCTGATTTCTGGGCATTCTGAGTTACATAGTCTGAATGAGCAGGTCTCCCACCTGAGGTCTGGAAAATGATTCCAAGCTATTTAAATATCTTTACTTGTTTGATTTTGTGGCCATTTAATTGCCATACATGGGCTCTAGGGTGCTTAGCCAAGACTATTACAGGTAGTTCTCATTTAGTGACTGACTCATTTAGCAACCGTCCGTGGTTATGATGGTGATGAAAAAGTAACTTTACAGCCAATCCTCGCATTTATGACCTTTGCAGGTCTATAAAGCAAAGGAAAACTGAAGTAAGATCATAAGCACAGTCATGGTTTCTCATAGTGATCGCTGCACAACAACCAAGTTGTAGATCCCTATTGTAGTGGCTAAACAAGGACTGTATTTTTCTCTTTTTATAATTTATCACTAGCTTTTCATCCTTACAGTAGATAGCAAAAGATCTTAAAGTGTGTTTTAAGCCAATTGGAGTCTGAGATAAGAGAATGCATCATCAGCCTACAAGAGCATTGGCATATACCTCTGAGCTAGCTTTGGAGGAAAGAAATTGAGGTTGTTTTGATGGGCGGCCAGGGAGTTCATATAGTAGTTATACAATGACGGAGCTAATATGCAACCCTGCCTCACTCCCAGTGCTTTAGTAAGATGGTGTTGTAGGATAAACCAACTTTTTAGGCAAGAGTTCTCATGTAGTTTACATAGCAGCAATAGTAGATGCCAGTCTATTGTAGAGGGAATGAATTTCTCCCACAATTTGACTCTGGATATTGAATCAAAAGCAGACCAAGTCAAGGAAGGGAGCACACAGGGTGGATCCTGCTTTGGCCATATACTTTTCATGGTCAGCTCTAAAACCAGCCTGCTGTTTTGTCAGAATTTGCTCAGATTCTAATCAGTCTAATAATTTTGCATTTAGAAGTTTAGCATGAAGTTTACTGAATAAACAGATAGGATGATGATTGGTTGGTAGATCCCTTTTTTATAAGTGGGGACTATTATTGCTGTTCCCCAGTACTTTGGGACTATTATGATATGACTTAGGGCAGAGAAGTTGACTGATCAAGTCTTTAACTTCTGTGCATGTTATTGGTGGCCAGTGAGGGATCATCATCTAATTCAGTTTGTTTGGTGTTGGATTCCTCTTGTGCCTACAGAACAGTGTTTCTCAACCTTGGCAGCCTTAAGCTGTGTGGACTTCAACTCCCAGAATACCCCAGCCAGCTATGTTGGCTGGGGAAT